CCGTCACTGGGGTCGTTGAATTTTACTGAGGGGATTCGTTTACGAGCAAGGCTGGAGAAAGGATAAAAGAACCTGGACTTGCATAGCAACACAGGGGACAAAACTTTCTGCACGTCAGGCATGTATACTTGCTGCTCATGTCACCATGTGATGGACAAAAGGCTAGTCCACGACATGTTCTTTCTCAGAAGCCAAGCATAGAGCTTCCTGCTCCATGGGGGATTTGTTGTGGGAACTGGTGCAGTACCTAGCTTGCCAAGTGTACAATCATGAAGCTATGATGTTATTCCGCCTCGAATTCGGGGAATTTGCCAATGCCTTCGAAGCACTTTACGACCAGTCCCATCTACAGTGGTGCTGTGTTCGGAACAGCTGTCCCGAAACGGTGGTCGCCGCATGTTCCAGCTGTCCCGAAACGGTCGGTGCCGGGGTCTCAACACCATCCAACTCGGAACCTCCGCGCGGTCCCCTCGCTGGTCACATCCTGCGTACTGGTCGGGAGTGGTCGTCACCGGTCAGTCTTTGGGGGGCCATCCTGGTCCACGGCCAGCACGTGTACCCCACTCCCGGCTCTTGGTGAAATCACTCCGCATTTGCGTCCGCAGTGAACGAAAACACGACAAAAAGTACAGTGGTTTCAGAGTAGATGGGACTGGCACGCCAAGGTGTCTTAGGCAGATGGGGGTTCATTGAAAAAGCAAATCTGGGGGGCCCTTGTGCCTCAATCCACTATATTCTTTGTTTATTTGATGGTCTGTGTCCACCCTCTTTACGGGGTGCCAACTGCTTGGTGGTACAGTCAGGGGTTGGGCCCCAAACACCAACTTTTGGGGTGTCTAGGGATGTGCCCACAACGAACCACAACAGCACACTGGTCACATCACCTCTGCCCAGCATGTGGGGTCCTCCACCTCTTGCTTCCACCTTTTGGTCGAACAAATGAGAAACAAAAGGTGCGGGCGAAATCCAGCGAGCGATATCCAGCACCACCCAGTTCGGGTGCTCACAGATCGACCCCCCCTGTGTGACACTGTATGTTCCGAAACCTACGTTCGATCACAGTCCTAAGGTTCATCTTCTCTTCCTCAAAAAGTGCCGAAACCCTCTACAATTGACCCAATCCACTCTCAAAATCCAGGCGTCCAAACCACAGACCACATCATCTTGGTTTCGCGTCTTTCAGGCACCGAACGTCTTCGACCAACAAATCTTGCAGCGCGTGGCTGAAGCCCAAAGGTGCCACCGGCGCGGCGCGGGTGACCCGTGCGTTGCGGAACGGATCCAAGCGGAAGGAATGCGGAACGCGTGCGTAGATGGCACAACGACATACAACTACGAGTTGCCCTGGCTGGAAACAAAGTCGAAGTATGTTGAAGTGGGATTTGATGGGACTTGAAGTATCTGGCCGTTCTTTTTTCGGAGTGCTGGAAGCAACCCACTGTGTGGGCACACAATGGCACAGAGCAAAACACCCGTTTTCCTGGCCCACGTCTTCTCCCTGCAGGTCTTCTCCCCGGTCTTCTCCCATCTTCGCCCCGCAACTCTGCACCACCCGGAGGGTCCCCAAACCCGCCATCCAAACACGAATCCCTTCGACCTCTTGAAAAACACGATCCGTTCGACCCTTTTGGGAGTCGTGTTTCACGTTTGTCTTAGTGGATCCACTGTTGACCAGTAACTCTCCAAAGACTCAAACCATCACCGTACCTGGACCTTCTTTCGGGGTGTTCCAGTATGGAGATCTCGGATAGTAGTGGGCTGGGGCGAAACCAGCCAGGTGACCGCTTTGGAGGTGCTGGTAGGAACGCTGGTTCCTTATATAGTAACTGGGATCTACTGGGGAAGGATGCCCATGGTACGCCGAGGTCAGAAAAACCTGCACTGGTGTCCAAAGCCGGCCCAAGCCTCCACTGAGCTCTGCAATGAGGCCTTGATACCGTGACGAAGCTTTTTGGTGCCAACGAATCGTGCAATTTCCAAATTTCCAGTGCGTCCGAATTCGTGTTTCTTTATAACTTTGTGGAGTGTAAACGGCCATACTATGGGGAAAATGGTAAGGACATGCTCTCAGCGGAGGATGCGTGTTCGGGCTCTTGACGAAGGACTGTTGTGATTCTTCAGAGACCGAAAAGTGATCCAAAGTTTAGATCTTGGTGATCTTGGAACGCTCCAAGTCACATGAGCATGGCATGGAGCGATGCTCAGATATGGTAACTCCAGTAGCTCATACTGTCCCACCTACTCAGAGTCAACCACACATAAGATTTCCGGGGTAGATAGCAAACAAATCATTCTTCTTCTATTCTCCTACTTCTTCTTCTTCTTCTTGGTTGGAGGCCATCGATAGTAGCTTGGAGGCCATCGCTCTTAGGTTGGAGGCCGTCCCTATTAGGTTCCTTAAAGTCTTTCTTCTTCTTCTTCTTAAGGACCACTTGCCATCGTTTTACCTCTTTTCTTAGGACTTGGAGGTTGGCTCTGATTGCCTCCCTTTGAGGCTTCGATTTGGAGGTGTTTTCCGACGTTCGAGGGTCGTGGTGTGTCCGGGACGCGTCTTGCCTGGAAATCCAAACAACCAGAAACAAATGGTTGTTCCAATATGGCAAGTAAGATCCTTTACAAGTCTTTACACAGGACGTGGCTGTTTGGTCAGATATTTTCACTTCGACCCAAACGATTTTAGCCGTCTAGGCGCGAGACTTCGGCTGCGATGTGTCAAGAAGGAGTTGGATCTTCTCATGGAAGCGTTGAAGAACGATGTTAACATGCCAATATGCAGAAGTCCACAAGCATCCATTGGTTAGACAATAACTCATTGGAATGAGACTTGTAGTCATCTTGAAGTCAACATTGCAATGGATGCTTTGGAATGTCTACAACTCTGCCCAAGAAACACACACGGGGCATTGTTCAAGTCTGACACTTGCCATCCTCGTGACCTCAAAAGAACTTCTAGACTCGCTTGAAGATTCTTGATATGGACGGCAGTCGAAACAAGTCCATCTTCTATTGCACAAATACATCTTTACACTCTCAATCTGCCTGGAATGCTTCTCATCATCCATTCACCTCTGCCGAGGCAAATCACACTTGCTGGTGAGAACCAACCCACCAACCTTGGGAACCCGAGCCTAGAAACCCTGTCCTTTTCGTTGCGCCGACCCCGCCTACCCCGGTCGCTCCGCACCCCGCCTGCCCCGGTCGCTCCGGTCCAAGCGGCGGTCGCAGTGGTCGAAGGCGCTGTCGAAGTCCTCGGGCGGCATGGCCTCGGTCCAAGCGGCGGGGAGGACGACCTCCGGCGCTCGGGCGGGTGAAGAGGTGGGGGAATGGTGCGAAACCGTCGACAGAGTGGTGCTGTCACGGTTCGAGGTGCGTTGTTTGGACCATTAGGAGTTCTGAAAAGCCTCAAGCAACAGGAACTCCCTCTTAGAGGTTTCGTTTTTTCTGGGTCGCCAACAGGGGTTCAAAAAAAAACAGAAGGGTCTTTTTTGAGGAGCTGAATGAAACTGCTGGGTGACCCAATCGATTTCTGCGAAACCCGTTGACCAGTCTGGCTCTTGGACCGATGGTCTAGGGGTCTCGGGTTTTAAATCTAAATCCCCAGGTTTGCCGGACCCAGGGCTGTTTGGAGCATCTCTGGTTTGGAAGATATCCTCCTCGGACTTCGGAAGATGGAGACCGCTGTGCCATGCGGTCTGGGAATTTCAAACAAAGACCGGAATGTTCGTTCAGGAGATTCCATTCTAATCAACCCAGGGTGCTGCTATATTTGGAATGAGACCACTGAGTTCGATGAATGGTTCCCATCCAAAAAGAACACAGACTTTATCATAACTGATCTATGATATAAAAACAATACATTTAAATACATGATTCATTACTTGAACAGCTTGTCTTTCTTTTCTTCATCACCATCTCCCACTTCCTTCCACCTTCCTGACCAGTCCCGCCACTCTGCCCGAGCCGCGATCGCTGGCCGGTCCTAGGCGGTTCGACCGCTCGGACCGAGCGGAAAACGGCGGTATTATGCGCCGCCGACATGCGCACTCTCGCGCGCACGGGTGTTCAGGTGTTTTCCCTTCTTCTTTTGGAAACGAAAACACAGGATTCCATGAACAGAAACGATGAAACACGTGCAAAACACAGGATCAACACTTTGATCGCCGTCACGTTCGTGTTTCTCTTTCGCCCAGTTTGGTGCCACGGACCGATTGACCGGCCGAAACTGACGACCGTTGACGGGTCCGATTCGGTACACCCCGATGCGGCATCTGTGGTTTGGTGAACGTCCCATGTCCAAAACCACATATGATAACACTACTATGATATAATCAATAGAGATAACATCAAATAATATAGTCACATCCCTTCACATGGTCACATCATGTAATCAATAGAGATAACACTACTCATGTATATACACTTTCTCACGAAACTTCAGATCCGATCTTATGGTCGGCATCAGCAAACAGGAACATCACCAACTACCAAAAAGACCCATCCCACCCCCCGTGGTTCTACACGCGCCGAAAACACGCCCTTCGCTTTCCGCATAGCGTCGAACTGAAGGTGGTTCCCCAGCTCGTGCCCCTCGGACACGGCGCGCGCCAGCAAAGCGCGGTACTTCGCACGGAGTTCCTTCGGAGCGCCGCCCTGCTCCAGCGGCAGATCGAAGCCACTCATGATCATCAAGCTGGCGCGGACCTGAGTCTGGCCGAAGAAATGGAGCAAGGATGCATTTCAGCAAAGGATGCTACTAGGCTCCTGGCAGTACTAGGAAAAATTCTTGCTAATAGAAACCAGAATTCAATTACACTTTAATTGGAAATAACACAAGAAGCTACTAGGACCTTTTCGCAACAGGACAGCGGTAGGATCGCCCATCGAAAGGACCAAACGGTAGGACCGTTGAAGTTTCATACGGCCTTACTTGCCGCCTGCGGTGCCCCCGGTATTATCTGGCAAAAGATATTTACTGGCCGTCTCAAGGGTCATAATGTGCAATGCAGGTTGGGGTGCTGTCCAGAACCAGAAACTGCAACTCTGTTCCCACCAGTGCAAAGGAGCGCCATGGAGACTTTCAGCTTCTCAAGCTTCATATAATACTCTAACTCGCAACCACACATATTCCATTTGAGTCTTTTCCCCGTGTGTTGCCACACATTGCCTGCCGTACGTTCAGCTTTGGGTTTAGCATACGTAGGTAGTTAGTTAGTGAGTGAGTGAGTCAGTTAGTTAAGCAAGGAAGTAACTTGGTCAGTTAGTTGTAATAGTGGCAGTAGTAGCAGCAGTATCGACAGTTTTCGCCTGTGGCCTCCAGAATTTTACCAGGGGCTTAGCATTGTAACACCTGTAGCCTAAGGGTGAGCCATTTGTAGAAAATCATTGGATACCTGTAACCTGGAGCAAGCTTCAGCGTTGAAAACGCAAGAGTGGACATGCCTCACAGCACCTGCTGTGCAACAGGCGGCCAAGTAGCTACCCATGCATCTTTAGACGTAGAATAATTTGCACTGCACACTTTAAGGCACCCTCCCCTTTGCACTCTAATAAAGGGGTGGGTATGGACTTTGTTACAACATTCCGGTATTCGGACCATTGCCGCAATTCGGCCGCTCTTTTAATCATTCCATGCGAGTTGGATACGGCGATTGCAGAATCGATCTACTTGAGAACTCGAGTGAGACACCATGAGAATTGGAGTTCCTCGAGCTCTCAAAGACTTCTCTACCTTTAAGGTGGTTGCTTCATCCAATGCGCTGGTGCTCTCATCCAGCAACAAGACCTCCGGCTTCAAGCAAACCGCGATGGCCAAGGAAATCCGTTGTGCCTGTCCACCCGAAAGCGTGTTCCAAGGCTGACTGAGCAGGGAGGGGTCGACGTCCCACTCTCGTGCAAGCTCCTCCAACAGCTTCTCAGGCTCTTCATCACGTGTGAGACCTTAATCAAAAATGGTCAACACACACACACACACAGCTGTGGGCACAGTGGACATTCTGGGGATGATTTTGCAAACGAGCATGCTGAATTCGAAGAATGAGATTTCGACATGCACTCAGGTCATTGGCCACAAGTCCCACAAAAGTCATCAAAAGTCCAGCTTGCACGCTACTCAACCATGTTGTTCTGTGCTCTTCCACAGAAGTGGGAAGAGCACAAGGGGAATGAATCCGCAGCGCCTGGTCTAGGACCATGAACATGAGCGTGAGCGTGAGCGCTGCACCAAGTCTAGTCACAAGTCCCAGAACACCAAGTCTAGAATCAGCAAAACTTGGAGAGCCTTGCAGTCTCAGGTGCTATTCAGTAGGCTATTCAGGTCTCTTGTCATAAGTTGGATATGAAGAGCAATAAGGAAGCTGGAACACAGAGTTGCTGCTTTCCGATTTCTTGTTCCCTGCAGGGCACAGAATTCAGGATCACCTGCCCAGCAATCCGGAAAGTTGGCAAGTCACTCTGGCTGCCGTAGCTCAAGACTTCCTTCAGAAAATCTCGTGGTGTCCTCACGTGGAGCCGCTGGCAAATGCTGGCTTGCAATACCCTTCAATCAAAAAGCATCCATTGTGGTTCTTCAACGTGACTTTTGAGATCTTGGGCTGAGGTCACTTAAGTCTCCAGGTCACCTTTGTTCAGAAGCTGGCAACAGGCTCTGACTCTGATATGACATCTATCCAAAGTCTTTGAGATCACAATCAACACCGACGCCACCCAGAAACGTCAAACAGGTTACGACCGTTGCGACAGGGGACCCACATCCGTTCCCTAGGGATCCAGTCGTACCGAACCTCAGAAGGCACCTGGACCCTCCTGGCACCCACCCCAGTCCCACCGAACCTGAGAAGGTACGACTGGATCCCTAGAAGTTTGCTTTCCATCTGTTTCGACGACGGTTTCGACACAGCTTCACGCTTCCAGACCGTCCTACAGGGACGACGTGTGGCACGTTGCAGGCACGACGGAGAGCGTCGACAGGACCGTTCCAAGGTTGAAGAGTACAACCCTGGACCGTGGCACCCATGCCATTCTGATTCAGTGGAGAGACATCTCAAGCTTCACAGAATGATCCAGAAATCCTCCAAATCCGGTGCCCACTTCTCCATTGTTGTGACGCCAAAACGCCCAGCTCTCCCAGCGCTGCATGGGACCGGCATATCTACCTACCTTGGGAGATTTTCAGGGGTCAATGTCGGTCAAATATTCCAGTCCAACCGGTTGCTCCTGTCTGGCTCTGGAAACCATGCTCGGATTGTCCTGCTGTGCCGCCCAGAGTCCCTTCCAGGTTGGCTTGACCCTGTGGCACCAACGAGACCTGGCGCCTCCATTCGACTGCATCCTCCACCTGGGGCTCGTTTTTCGACGCCCCGGTGACCTATCTCCCATGAAAGGAAGAGACACCACCGGGTGACTGATGAAACTGCAAAGAAACCAGAAACAGAATCGTGTTGGGCCACGTTTTTCAACCACATCCAAGCACTGATGGTGTGGGATGATTCTGTTGGGCTTTCAGCCTTCACAACAGCACTTCTCCAACAAGACCAAGTTGCAACCTGATGACAGTTTCGACCTCCACATGCTGGAACATGGTTCTTCTGCCTGTCGTAGATAGGCTGTGATTGGGGAAATTAAGCGCCTTGCAAAGCCTTTTTTCGTTAGACAATCCGTCACACACTTGGTCGAACTTCCTCCAAAATAGATCAAGCCTCCAGGATCTTCCCCGCCTGTGGCATGCCCCTTCTGTTTTCCAACAAAAAACCACCAAAAAGAACACCACCTGTCAGGATCCATCTCCCCTGCCAACCCGGGCCTCAACGCCTCCGGGCTCCAGCCCGGCGATCCGCCGCAGCATGCGGGACTTGCCAATGCCACTGGGCCCCAGCAGCGCCACGCGATCGCCACGGTGGAGCGTGAGGGGTGAGACGTGGCCATCCAACGTCACCTGTTCAGGAGAAGGTTGGAGATCTTCGTTGTTTTTCTTACTATATATATTTTTTTTTACACTGAATAAGCATCAATCATATGTTTTTAACGAGTGATTCTCGAGGTTCCATGATCACACATTCTTTTTAAACATGTCTTTTCGGAAACGTCATGCCCTTGTTCTGTGAGTGATGACGCCGAACCACTTCGTGGATTCTTCGGACTCTTCGGACCCCGAAGGAGGACACAGGACCCAGTCTTGACCTATTTTGTCAGCCTAGACTACTATGGACTACCTATAGTCTTGCCTGATTACCGCATGCCATAGTCTACTTTAATTAAAGCCTAACTAAAAGTGGTTGCTCATGTAGACTTAGGGTCTATAAGCTATTACCAAGGCCTTTTCGTGGATGATGGGCCCTGGTGGCAGGCCTTTCTTGTGAAACGGGTCCTGTTACAGGTCAGTTCGGACCGACCCAATGTAGACTCTTGATTCACCATTGAAGCACCTTTTCTCGATGCTCAAAGCCTTTTGAGGCCTAACGGGGTGAAAGATCAGTCGAGTCTATAATTCTGTGGCATGGAGACCCATGCATCACTTCACGCACTTCATGCAAGTAAACCCTGCCACAAAAACCATGGGCCCTGAACCTGAAAAGTCTCAAGAACCCTGGCTTTTTCCGCCCAAGCATCCACCCTGCCCTTCACCACCGGTGTTCACCACTGGTTTGACCCGGTGACCTGCAGTTGCTTCACCAAGGCTTCACCACCGGTCTTCGTCTCGGTGGAGCCCTCGGAGTCGCCGTGGTCGTCGTGGTCGTCGAGGATCTTCACGGGACGCATGGCGCGCACCTGGAGGTGGCAAACGATGGATCAGGATAGCCCACAGGGTTACGATGGATAGCCCTGGATCACCAGGATAGCTCTGTGTTAGGATTTTTTGTTCATACGAAGTTGGACCCTATTTGGGGTAGTTGGTGGTCCCCCAAAACAAGATCAAAACGGTTTTGGTGTCATCCACAGCAATGGCAAAAAGGACTGAATCGCAAGAACTTCCCCCTTTTTGCCTCTTTTCCACCCTTCATCCCCCCCCGCATGATGCCCAAACTTGGTTTCCGGGGGCGAGGGTTTCTCAGGTGAAAACCACCGAAGTCGGCACCTGCGCAGGCTTCGCACTCACTCCACGCAGCATCTCCCGCATCACCTTCCGTAGCCCGCGGCAGGGCGGCTGCTCCTCGCGCGGCCGGGCGCGCAGGTCGTCGAGCTGCAGCCGGTGCTGCTTCTGATCCACCAGCGTTCGGACGGCCAGCTGACTGACCACCTGGCTGGAGGAGGACGGGGCGACATTGAAGACGAATGAGAAAAAAGGACCCCAAGGTGATGGCCTCCACCCACCGTCCACCCGATGGCCTCCAAGTAAGTCATAGCGATGGCCGTGCGTAAGTCAGGATCCCGAGGTGATCACATCTCAAGTCGAGGCAACTTCTCATGAGCCAAGCCCATTGGGAGCCAAAGAGGGAAATATGCGAACTTGAACTGTGGCGGTGTTTTTAGTCGAAGCGAAACAGCAGTCGAAGCGAAAAAAGCGCTCCACCTGAACAGTAGTAGTCGTTGAGGCTGCGATGAGAAAGAAAATGAGCACTTGGTAGGCTGCAGCTGTGAACGGTGACCTTGGTAGGCTGGCTTCGCCGCTCTTCTTCTCGTTCTTGCCATGTATGAGTCCAATGGCACCGATTTTGACTCCAATTGATTGCTACGCTGGGCTATCCGCCTGGAGAGGTACCAAGACA